CTCGGCCAGCTAGTCAGCCCAACTGCCGCGTCAGCCGCGTCTGCATATGGTGCCCACTGCAGGTGCCCACTGATTCTCTGCTGCTCTGCGACAGGTGGGTCGGCGAGCCCCGCTAGGCCAGGCCACCCTCGTTGGGGAGCGCACTGCCAGGAAGCTGCGAGGCGCACGCTGTCGGCCTAGCCCAGCACTGCGCCGCCACTGTGCAGGAGATGCCGAGGGCCCCCTGTGCGGATCTAGCGCCTGAGCGCCGGTCGGGTGGGGCGACAGGGCGCTTCGTCCAGACGAGCTCGGCGCTGGCTACAGCTGACCCAGCTCTCGTGACCGGCGCCGCTCAGCAGCGCCAGTAGGCCCGCTTCCGCCTCCAGCGACCAGCGGAAGAGCCCGACTCTGGCTGCCGCCGCCTCCAGCGGCCAGCGGAAGGAAACAGCAGAGCGGCCGCTTACAGCACACCCGTTCTAACTTGCAAGCGAGGCTCTCAGCAGGTATCCACGCCGAATACGTCAGCTCGAGGGCAAGAAACCACGCGGACAACACTGATGATCTCGATATCTCTCCCATACCCAACACTTGAGAAGAGTGCGCACCAACAGCTTCAGCAAAAGCTGACACACCATGGGCCCAATAGACGACGAAAACACGTCCCATCGGGGATTCCCACCAAAGTGGCCGTGACGTGCGCAAGAGCCGAGCCGCTGGGAGAGGCGTCCCTCAATGCCACAGCCTGCCGGCCTGACCCTGGCCGAGTTTCGGCCGGGCCCCAGGAAGCGGGCGTTCCAGCTGGGTTCTGGCGTGGTCCCAGGAGCTGAGACAGCGGCAGGCGCGCGGACGGCGCACCGGACGGCTGTCTAGGGGAGGAGGAGGACGTCAGATGGCGAGAGGGCACGGACTTGCTCCGGTCAGGGCCCGACTCGAGGGCCCGATTCCAAGCCGGTGTTAATCGGCCACGGACGTCTGCATGGCATCCCATCCGGGTCTGTGCGTGGCGCACACGCTGCGCCACACGCAGCTCCATGCCCTTTGAGGCAAACCCATGTCGTGCGACTCTTCGTACAGTCACGCACATCTGTACACGACCGGCGTCGCCGTAAGCATCGGCAATGACAATCAGACGACCGGCGGCTTGGCGTACAAATGTATACCCCAGGTCTCAGCGTAGTGGACAGAGAAAGTAAACAATACAATCATTTCCCATTTTAAGAATCGATCCGATTTTTGCCTTACAGTTCGACTGACAATCCCCCGCGCGTTCGGTTTCGCTGTTCAAGAACAACTTGAAATTCACAGTTTGCGTACCTGCAGCAGAACCTTGAAACGCCGTGCGGCAGCCAAATGGCATGACCTTCACAACTGACACATTTTGCAAAGGCCCAGCACCGAAAGGGTTCATCGGTCTCACACCACCAAGCGCAGCAAACTGATGACAGCTGCTGATTTATCGTCCATCGCGATGCTGCCTGGCGGCCCGGGAGCCTTGGAAACTTGCGACACTCGAAGAGCGCCCTCCGGCTAGAAACAAAATTTATTTATCGCCGTCTGAGGCAAAACATGGCTCGCGGCACTCCCCCCCCCCCCCCCCCACACACACACAATGAGTTGGCAGTCACCCGACCCTCTCCTGCCAACACCACTAGACGCTGCACCCGTACGCACCGAACTTTCGGCCAACAGTCGGATTCGGCGAATAGTCAAATACCGACAATAGCATTCACATGTTCGAAAACATGCAAAGGCCCTTCGAAAGGGACAATCCTTTACGAAAACACTCAACAGCCGTTGAGGGCTTCAGTGAGGTTAAACTTGACACCGCTGGGGGCTGGGGGATGAGATCGGGTCGTTACGGTTCAATGGCACCAGATTGGAGCCTCGAGAGCGCGCCGCACCGCCATGCTGCAGCGCCACTAAAGCGACAGACCCAACAGGGCCCGGTCAAACAGCCGAGATGACATGTTACTGTGGTAAGATTGAAAGGCATGCGATGCGAGACATTCAGGAACGATCCAGAGCCATATGCCGTGTTTTCAAGTCATGTACCACCATTTTCTCTGGGCTCAGTCCCGTAGGATATCACGTATGAGGTAAACGATGAGACCTTTACCGTGCTGATCTGTACAATAATCACTCTCCTGGACCCGATGCCCTTATCAGAACGGCAAATGAAAATCGGCAGAAATGTCCCGTTCGGCACACATTCGCCTGAAAAAGCTGGTAATTTCTGTAAAAATTAACATTCGAATACGTCCACGTAGGCAACATTTTTATCTGAGGAAATATCGACCTTTCCCAGATATCCTTCGAATTTGTACCGAATTTCTGCGAAATCGCCGAGTATTTACCGTAAACCTTAGCTCACGGACTCCCTTGCTCGTGTTCATGTGCTTGCTCTGATCATGGCTCAATTGGCTGCACCCTTAACTACGTTCCCGTTCGAACATACCCCACCGCATATTAGGACACCGGTACCGAACCGAGCGAGCGTTCCTCTGCTGACGTCACAGATAGCCTGCCGCCGCCTGTAGCGGTGCTCGAGACGGCCGGCACCGGCCGCCCGGCGCCGGCGTGTTCCCAGCGCCGCCCGGCCGTCCTGCGATGCCCCCCTCCGCGGCGCGGACGGGGCGCGGGGGACCCCGCTCGCCGACCGGGCGCCCGTCACCGCGCGGCGGCGCCACGATACGGCCGCCGCCGGTCAGCCGTCTCCGCGCTCCACCTGGGAGCGGCCCGCGGCGGCACGCATGCGGGCAGGAGACGGCAGCAGCCGTCAGCGGGTGCTGGCACCGCCAGGGCTGGCTCGCCCCCCTCCCCCCGAGCGGGCCGGCGCCGACAGTGCGCCGGGCGCACCACACCCGGCCGGCAGATGGCGCCGGCCGCGTCACGCAAGCTGACGGACCGGCCCAGGAGCTACCCCTCCCCTTCCCCCAACTGAGCAGGACACTACGGCCGTGGACGGGCCGAGCACGGGACACGCACACTCGCAGGCCCGCCCCGTGCCGGCCCACACATCCGGCTGTCAGTGACGCACGGCTGCTGACGAGTACCGCCAGCTGACCTATATAGGTCAGAGCCAGCCGAGCCCCTGTTGCAGTGGTGTCCATTCATGCCGACAGGCCACTCAAATGGCCACCCATCCCAACCGTCTGACAACATGGCATTACTCAGACCTTGGCAGTGATCGGACGGATGGAGCATATTTAGCTTTTCAGTTGAACAGGATAGCCAACAGTACCAGACAGCCCTCGTTATCTGAAGTCGTCTGGACGGCACACAAAACGCGACGTGCAACTTCTAATTGAGGCATGCTTATGATTGGCGGTTTGATGGATCTGGAAACGACCAATGACGTCTAATTGTTCTATCGCTGTGAACACGATCCATGACTCAGGAATGGAGCCCTCAAGGTTCATTCAAACGTCCCCTGGCCGGGACCACACGTGGTTGGCCGGTCGGCGCCCGTGCGACCGAAACGGCCGCGCGGCCATTCCGGACCGCATGGCAGGGGTCGGGCGCGGCTCGGGCGCCCGGTGCGCGGCGGAGAGGGGGGGCCGACGGGGCCCGGTGGGCGGGTCCGCCGCCGCCGCCCTCCGCTGATTGGCGCCGCCGCCCGCCCGACCGCCCAATGGCAGCGGCCGGGCCAAACAGCATGGCGGCGGCGGCCGCGCCGTGCGGCAGCGGCATGGCCCCTGACCCGAGCGGGCTCGGGTCAACCCCAGCCCGGGCGCCGCCGCCCGCCGGCGTAGCAGAGCCGTCCGGCGCGAGCGCCACGCACGGCGCCGGTCACTGGGTCAGGACGCCCGCGGCCCGGCCTGACGACCGGCTGCACCACTGCAGGCGCCGCAGTCCACCTGTTCACATCAGCACGGCACGCAGCGGCCTCCGCCACTATCCGAGCAGGCGGTCCGCCGTCGCGGCAGGCAGACGGCCAGTACATGCGAACGAACTCTCTGCAGTATGTCGTCATGCGGCATGACGATCCGATCATACAAACGCAAGTACGTCGGATCATTAGTGGCAAATATGTCGAGTGCATCAAATGAAAGACGAAGGTTTACAGGGGCATCTTCTGGCCGCCATGTTCTGAAAAGCATTTTACAGATAGCGCCAGCCGATATCTGAAGCGAATCCAGCAGCGCCATCCAGGAGCGCTGCTGCCTCTTGTTTGTGTCTTTGCTTTTCATTTTTAGGTCAGGCGATATGTTCGGGAGAGAGAGGCCCATGCACACCCGGCCTGACCCGCGCGACCTGATTTCATGTGTTTGCAGCGACGCTCGTCGACACGTATCCAGTGAACTTTAAGATAGTAATCCGATGTCGCATAACGCTTTGCTCCGGCCTGTCGTATCGAGATAGCCGTTGGCACGCGAGGCCAGCCCCACGTCCGGCGACGCTGGGGAGGGCACACGTCCACGCTGAAGCTGAACAGGTCCCTGAGAAGTCGCGACAAACTCGACACCAACTCATTATGGCTCCTTCGCCATTACTCCAAGAGGCGCGCACCAGCCGCACAGCTGGGGCGCGTGGCCGCGGGCTCGACTGGCGGCCATGGTGCGCGGGGGCGGGAGCCCCGGGCCGCGCGTTATCGGCCCCGGCCGGCGGCCGCCGCAGCGCGTCCCGTCTGAGATAGTCGGGTCCGGCTGGCCGCCGCTCGCCGCTCGCTCTCGCTCTCGTGCGGCGGCCGCGGCGGCAGCCGGCCGTCTCAAGTTCAGTGGGTCAGCGCGCGACACTGGCCCGCTCTGAGGCGTCACTTTCGCTGGCGCGCGCCCGGGCCGGGCCGGTGCCCAGACGGTCAGCCCGGGCGGTGCCGGTCCGGCAGCGCCGCCGGCCGCCGCTGGCATTTCCTGACCGGCCGACCGGGCCGACACCCGGCCCTCCCGCCCAGCGCTGCGCCCGACATGGCGCCAGTAAATTACAATAACCGGCCGGGCGGCGGGCGGCGCGTCGCGCGGCAAAAAACGCTAGCCTGTGCCCGGCCGGGCGCCTGCCCTGGCGCCGCAGAGGTTCGTACTCACCCTCAAGTCCTTGAAGAAGACCGAGTTGCGGGCCCAGTCCACCTGCGTGAACAGGTTGGTATCGAGCACTTTGCACAGCAGTTCGAACAAGTCCACCTCGCACTGGTTGTACGTCTGCGTCTGCAGCAGGCTGAACAGCTGCTGCTGCCACTCGCGGTCGTCGAGCGACGCCACCAGCTCGCGGATGATGGAGGGCACGTCGCTGCGCGCGGCCGGCTGGCCGGCTGGCCAGGCGTCGCCGAGGCCGGCTGGGTGGCCGCCCGGCCCCAGCAGCGGCGACGGCGACGAGTCGGGCGACGAGGCCGACGTCGAGCTCAGCACCGGGTACTGGATCTCCTGCTTGATGGTGATGCTGCCGCCGCCGCTGTAACTGATGGGCAGCGAGGTGGCCGACGACGCGTAGCTGATGGTGACGGCCTCGTTGCCGACGGCGGGCAGCGTGACGCGCTGCGGCCCCATCAGCTGGCGCTGCCGGATCTGCTGCATCTTGCGCGCCCGGTCGCGCTTGTACATGGGACCGAACTTGTTGCGTCCGCCGCGCATCCGGTCCTGGCGCACGGCTGCAACGCACGGGAGGCGGGCGTGAGGCGGACGGTCACCGCGGCACGACACGCCAGCCGGCCGGCAGGCACACACACGCACACACGGCAGACATGCACAGACGGCGCAGCCTGGCCACCGGACCGTCACGCTGACCAGACCCGAGGTCAAACACGGCACCAAACCACCCCCCACCTCCCGAGTGCATCATTGAACCGCTGCTGCTCGAGAGCGTAATAACAATTCACGCAGCACCTATTCATTTCCCTGTCCGGTCGCCCCAGCAGCTGGCCTTGCAACGGCGTACGACTGCCAGTCCGCGTCCACCTAGAGGCAACAGGGGCGGCCATTCCAGCTCTGCCGCCGGCGCGGCCAGGGGCCGAATGGGATCACCCTCCCGCGCCGCATCCGGTCGCCTCCCGATAAATCTGCACCTCGGCGGCCAGGGCGGCGAATCGGCCGATTTCACCGGACACCGGCGGCGACAAAGGGCCGCCCATGGCGCCGCAGCAGGACAGCGGTCGGCACCCTCTCTCTCTCTTTCTCTCCCTCTCTCACGGGACGTTACGCGCAGGCGCAAACAGGAAGTGACCGAAATAATCCCTCGGGCCGCCGGTACACATGGCGCCGGCGGCCGAGTGCAGCGCTGTCGGGCGCGCGCGGTGGGCGGACCGGTATCCCGCCACCTCCGCCCGTGTACGCCCATGCCACAGGGCGACGGACCGGGGGCCACGACAGCCGCCGTCATGCTGGCCGCGCCGCTGCTGCGGTCTGGTCAGCGGACGCGCCACACGCCCAGCCTGGCCAGCCGACACAACGACCAACAGGGTAACAAATCGACATCTCCATGGCGGTGTTTCGCTTTTCGTCGGAATCACAACTCTGCTGTCAAAATAGCGACGAGGGTAGGAGATCCTCCACAGGTGAAGAGCTGGACACCCATTACACTCTTCAGTTTATTTTCATGTAACACCATCGGTGTGCAGCTGAGCTCCACACAAGTCCATGAGACGGAGGCAAGCAACACACGAACTCCTGTGACGAGCCCCATGCGTCCGAGCCTCTAAAGAAGCGGAAGACCAATGCGAAAATATCCCCCTGCCTCTTAGGCCACGGTGGCCGAGGCTGCCCAGCTGTATTCCGGCCGGCATCGCGTCCGTTCGACACAGCGCCACCCACACGACCTCGGGTCAACACAGCGCCACCATACGACCTCGGGTCAGAACAGCGCCGCCGCACGACCTCGGGATAGCGGGGCGCCGTCGACACGACCTAGGGCCAACACAGCGCCACCACACGACCTCCGGTGAGCAGGCCGCCACCGACACGACCTCGGGTCAACACAGCGCCACCGCAGGACCTCCGGTCAGCGAGGCGCCGTCGACACGACCTCGGGTCAGCGGGGTGCCGCTGTTCCGCAGGCCGAGCGGTCCAGCTGGTCGACACATCCGCCGGTGATGGGAAGCGCTGGGCGGGCGTGGCGCAGGCGGCCGGGACAAGGGCGAGACGTGACCGAGGGCGAATCCGAGCAGAGCGGGGCTCGGCTGGCCTTTCCCGCCCGGCCGGCACGGCTGCGACCAACGTCGAGGCCTCGCCGGGAGCACGTGGTAGAGCTGACGGCAGCGGTGCCAGCCGCGGCACTCAGGCCTCCTCACCATGTGGGGAGGTGCTGGTGATAGGAGCAAGAAGTCCGGACGAACCCTTGGCAAGCCCGAGGCATGCATCACCTGGCATCTCTAGCAGCAAGCGATGGCCGGCTCGGCCTCCCTCACCCCCCCCCCCCCCCCTCGCCCACCTCACCCCAGCTCCACAGAATCTAAACCGGGGGAGGTACGACGAGCGTCTGGAATGGTCCGAGACAAAAACTGCGGGGCTGGTGGATGATGGAAACATACGCGGTGTCTTTATCTGCACACCTTCACCAGCGCGAGGAGGCGGGACAAATCCATCTAAAACGGCGCCGGTGATAGCTCACGCCCCAATCCAGCTCATGTCACCTGTGCTGCTGGGCCCTGGGCACAGCTGTCTCCCACACCGGCGAGAGGACGACCCGTAATCACAGCTCCGAGCAGAACAAATTAACACTAAGCGCACACCGTCACCCACCCTTGACCAGGGGCGGAGCATAATTTCGCGGGCGGCGCGCGCGCAGTCCGCAGATGGCCGCTGGCACGGCAGCAGCTGGTCGGCGGCCTAATGATCGCCGGGGCTCAGTGCACCGAACGCCGCCGCAGCACCGGGGCTGTCCAAACGTGTACCAACCCACCATCGTGTCCAGCAGCTCTTGATGCCAGGTTCGACGGCGTGACCAACTCAACCCTACCTGCCCCGTGGGACTGGGCAAAGGTCAATAGAGAGCGCCGTTGTCCAGTGATATCTCCGGCTGGTGCTCCGCGCGCCCGCGGGAGAGCTGAACTTTCACGGCCTCCGGAAAGCGGGGGATTACTTTATCTCAGCGTCCATCACCTACACTTGGCGGTAGGCAGGGCGACGGAAACCGTGAACCGGTAACGGAGCGGCGCGGCGCGGCGCGGCGCGCGCAGTGGGGGGGGGGGGGGGCGCCCCGTCCGAAGGAGTCCGCTCGGCCGCCGCACAAAGGCCCGGCATCTCGTTGGCGCGGCCTACATTCGGGCCGACCCATTCAGCGAGCGTCCCTTTAAATTGGAGGGGGAGGCGCGCGGCGGCCGGTCACGCACAATGGCCGGCCGGGGGAGCCAGCCGACCGGAATAGTGGCGTCGGGGGTCAGAGACCGCGGCCGGGCAGCGCAGATGGGGCGCAGCGCCGGCGAAAGCTGGCCCACCGGCGCCCGCTAAACGCGCGGCGAAGGGGTCCCGCGCGCACACCGGTGAAAGCTGTTTGCGCGCTCCTGGCGTCAGCCAATGCCGAGATGGGCGGTGACGAGGCTGGTGGCAGCGGGACCCAGGCAAATGCGACGGCCGGGCGGGCCGACCGGCGCCCCACCCCGCTCGCCAGCACGACCAGGCTCGCGTGACTCGCACCTGCGTCACCCATCACAGCAGCGGCCGGCGCGGTGCGTGTGGGCCAGCATAGGGCCGGCCCGGCGGCGCCACCAGCCTAATTAATTGCCATCGCCGCCCCCACCCCCTTTCCGTTCGTCCCCAACCGGTGAAGGGTGACGAAAAAGGACGCAACTGGCCACAACCCAAGATATCAAATGAAGCGGCCGTTCGTCTTCTTCTCTGCAACGGTGTGCCTGCATCGCTAATCGATTGCGAAAGTGTGGTGGACACCAGAGGCCTCTGCTTTGCATGTGATGCGCATGGGATGGGGCATCGTGGCAATGGTGATGACACCGAAAAGCATCGGATTATGGATATTGACCATGGTATCGATCCTTACTCCACGCGACGCCGTGCTGGTTTGGAACTGGTTGGCTGGCTCAATGCAGCCGCGAAGCGTTGCGGTTGCGTGCGAGGCTTCGCCGTCCACTCGGCTGCGTTCGAATCACGCGCCGATGACGGTGCCGCGGGAACGCCTTCCCAGCCCAGCAGCCAAAGCCCACGCTGATGGCTCCCGACAGCCCCGCATCCCGAAATGGGGCACGCAAACAAAGACAAAAACGTCGAACCGCCCTGTAGCGCGACGGAAGGGTGTTTGCGCAGCTGCACGCCCTCCTCACGCGAGATTAATGCGGCCGAGCCCATTCGGTGACGGGTCGCCGGTGCTCGCGGCGAACGGGCTGCGTGCCGCGCCAGACCGGAACGGCGGCCGCCTGCGCCGGTCGCCTGGACGCAGGCGCCTCCGCCCGGTGCGGCCCGGCCGTGCTGCTCCCAGTGTACGCCCGATCTAGGTCAGCTCGGCCGGCCGCCTGCGCTGCGCCGAAAGTGAAGGTGCAGAACTTAAACACGGTGCGCGCCCGGCGGGCACCGCAGCCGCGCAACGGAACTCGCGCACACCTCTTTACAAACTGCTGACGACAGCGCATAGATGGTGACCGGTCACTGGCCGCAGCAGGATCGTTACACCACTGGATAACGAGGATTATCGGACTCACTCGACGTCTCACAAAGCACCGTTACGCCAAGCGTGAAGCCATTTCAGCATGGTGTAATCTTGCAACACGAACAAATCCCAGCCAGCTCAGCTTGATTGCGCGCCGTGAACAGACCGCATAAATAGTTGACACTGGTGGTGAGAACAAGCTGGACTGAATCCAGGTCACGGCGGTCGCGCAGCCGTCAACGAAAACAAACTAGACGGCCGCCGGGTGACAAACAACAGCGGCGTGGTGGCGCGGCGCCGCCGCTGCCAATCGTGCCGCCGGGCGTCGCCGTCGCCGTCGCCGCACGGCGGCGGGCCGCGGGCAGGGCGGGGCCCGGCCCGCGGCGCCGGCCGGATGGCGTCCGCACCGACCAGAGGCGCAGGGAGCCGGCCCTGCGCGCGCGCCGACCGAACGCCGTCCAGCCGTTACAACACGCTGCCGCCGCCGCCGCCGTCGCTCTTGAGCAACCGGCAACAAACATGACCGCGCAGCGCGCCGGCTCAGCCGTCCGCTTTCGTAAAAGACGCTCGGGCGCCGCGGCGCCCGGCGCGCATTGCAACAGGCGGCGCAGCGGCCACCCGGCCGGGCGCCGCCACAAAGGGCGCGCCCTGCCGGCCGGGCCGGTCACGGCACGCACGGGGTACGCCGCAACAATGGCTAACGGGTCCCGACTCACGCCGCGCCTCCATCGCGCCCGACCCGGCCGCCTGCGCCGCCGGCGTCGCCGGGACGCGCGCCTGCCCGTCGGCGGCGGCGGCGTCGGGAGAGGAGAGCGCGGCCGTCCGCCGCCCGGTTACCCAACACAACACGGCCGCCCGGCCCGTAATCCGAGCGGCGGCCGTTACCCAACCTGCGCGGCCGGCCGACGGCGGTGGCCGCGCCGCCTGCTGACGCGTCCCGGCCGGCGCAGACGTCCCGACGCTAACGTGGCCGGCGCCGGCGCCACGTTAGCGGCCGAGACGGTGACCCACATAGGGCCCAGCGACGGCACGCCAGCCCCCTCCGCCGGGCGGCCA